AAAATGCTTGGTCAGAGGCCGGCAGGTGGGTGCTTGCCGCATCGCCTCGTCCGGGAATGACTGTACCAGGGCCGTGGCGTGAGAGCCAGAGTGGCCGGACCGGGGGCCTCTGGCCAGTCCAGCGGGACGTCCCTGCCAAACCGTGTCCAGCTGGCAGGGGCGGGGGTCAGAAGACGCTGCAGCGGGCTGGGAGGAGGGACAGCGTCTGCAGGGGGGCAGGGCAGGGCGGGTGCCCAGGCCTTGGCGGGGAGAGGAATGCCCGAAAGGAGCCGACCCTTGAATTATGGGATGGGGGTGGCCTGACAGGAAGCCCAGAAGCCCCACCCGCTGGCTCTATCTTGGCCTTCCCCAACTGGGCGCCCACCAGACCTGTGGACTGCAGATCTCACAAATCCCAGAGAGCATGGCACCTGCTAATTTGCATGCCTAGATGGGCACCTGGCAAGATTTATTCTGCTGGAAGTAGACATGCGCTTACTGTGGGGGATTGGGATCCGGAGAGCTGTGTAGCCTGCTCCGTCAGAGGCCATGGGGGCAGCTTCCAGGCCCCCAACACTCCCTTCCGACATTCTTTCCCCGGGACTTGAGCAGAACAGCCCTTTAAGCAGAGGATGCCTGCCATACAGAAGCCAGTGCTCTGACAACCTGCAAATAGAGGACGGTCTGCTGTGAAGGAGCACACCGGCCACCCTCCCTCTCCACTCAGAAAACAGCCATGTGGGTCAGCAAAAATGATCTGATTTCATCCCAGCAACTTGTCTGAGCCATCCGGGAAAACGAAGCCACAAGATAATTGAAATTTTCACCTGCTCCTGCCAGGCTATTAGCCAATCCCCCCGGGAGTGCTCTTAATTAGCTTCTCTGCAGAATCCAATTCAGCCGAGGCCCCTCCGAGAGCTTCTTAATCAGACCTCTTAAACTCCGTCGATGCACTGCGCTGTTCCAGGAGAATGGCTGCCTGGCAAGATGCAGAACGCAAGGCACCTCCATCGCACGGGGAGACGGCAGGCACTGCTGTTTCCTCGCTGGCCGTGTTTCTGCACAACGAGCTGAGTTCTGCACCCAGCATCCTGGGCGTGGGGACTGTCTCTCCAGCCCCCGCTTGGTGGTTCAGCAGGAGCCGAAGCTGGAATGGCAGGGCCAAATCCCTGCTCAATTCACCAAGGAATGGGTGGAGACCTTTCTCCCTGCAGACACGCCCTTGCCTGCCGCTGAGCGAGGTGCTCACATCTTCAGCTCCGTACCTGGGTATTTATTATTATTTTTGTTTAAAGCTTTTATAACCCACCCACCACTGACATCTCAGGGCGGCTTACCACAAAAATGTGTCCCACCATCTTCCGAGCCATACACAGAACCGGGATGAGGTCCCGGAGGCCGACTGCCACGCTCAAGGGGGTAGAGGAAAGACTCCAGATAAATAACCCCGAGACCACCTCCTTGGAAGATGCCCCCATGGCGGGTTTTGCCAGGGGGTGGGGACCATCCAGAAAAAGGAAGGGGGGTCAGCCCTCCTGCCGGCTCATCATCTGAGCACCGGCTTTGTCCTTTCTAAATCTTTTTGCTTGCTTATTGGCAACCCATCAAAATTCTCCTCTCCCCACCCCATCAAATTACATTTTCTGAGTTTCAATTTGACACTTCATTTCTCTCTCCCTGGGAACCCTAACATTTGTCTGCTGTGAAGATTGGGACTCGCTGTACCTAAGAACAGTCCAAGGCCCCCACACAGAGGAGAAGGGGGAGCCAAAACAGGATAGAGAAGCGGGACTGGCGAAACGATGTTGCGGCATAGCATAGTCCCGGTCAGCCAGCCAGCCAGACATGCCCCCTCCATGGTGCTCCATTCCAGGTCGCCTCCCACCAAATCTGCCCACCGAGCCAGCGATCTGTGTGTGCAGTGAGGGCTCGTGCAGGGAGGGGCTGAAATGGTTGGACGGGGACCGGGGAGATCCGGGTTCTAGTCCCCACTTAGCTACGAAACCATTCACTCGTAGCCTGGCCTACCTCGCAGGGTGGTTGCTGCGAGGGTAGAAGAGTGGAAGAGCACCTTGCCAGGCACCTTAGGGTCCTCACAAGAGGAAGCCAGGGCAACAATGGCAATAAAATAGCCGTGCTTCGCAAGTAATACCACAAGAAAGGTATCACTGCCACTCTATACGACTCTGAGGCAGCCACAAATGGGAACTTGTACTCAGTTCTGGGCCCCTCATTACAGGAAGGATACAGCCAGGTTGGGATCGGTGCAGCGAGGGGCCACTGGGACGGTGGCTGAATTTCAGGGAAAGCCGTATGAGGCAAGACGGAGGGAGCTGGGTTTCTTCAGCCTGCCAAGGAGGAGACTCAGAGGGGATCTGTGGCGACATACAGGCATGTGAGGGGATGTCACATGGAGATGGGTAGAGACCTGTTCTCCCTGCAGAGGAGGGCAGGACACAATCCAATGGAGCCAAGCTCAGAGAGCCAAGGTTCAATTAGGATGCCTGGAAGCGCTTCCTGATGGTTAGGACCCCCAGGGTAAGGAATGGGCTTCCACGGGAGGCGGTTGTGGCCCCATGAACGCAAGATGCAAGGGATCCTCTCCTTCCAGAAACAGAGGTGGGGGTGATGCCAATGATAATTTATGCTCTGAAGTCTGTATGTGGGAGTCTATAAAGGGGTCTCCTTAGAACACCCCTAAGGATATAAAAAGTGGAGAGTACAGGAGCACTCTTCATTTCAGAAAAGTCAGAAAGGACTGGGGGCCTGGGCAATGATGTGGGCAAGGCCAGCTTGTCCGGGGATCTGATGCAACCAAGCTCAATTTATTTAGTATTTGTTTTCAGACGGGATTATTGGCTTGCTGCTGGTTTATGGTTTTACCGGTTATTGTTCTTGGTTGTCTGGTGTTTATTTTCCTCCTGTTCCTATTTATATGGTTGTCTTTATTTTGTATTTTAATTCTTTCATGTTTTATGATTTGCTTGTTATTGGTGTGTGTGTGTGTGTGTGTGTGTGTGTGTGGCTGTGAGCCACCCAGAGGGGCTATGGGGTGGCATACAAATATGATAAACAAAATAGGCACCTTTCTGGTGCCAGGACCCCTAGGCTATGGGGTCGCCTAGCCCCACACTGATCTGTTCCAGGGTCTCAGGCTAAGAAAGAGATCTGATCTGTTGAACTGGGGATGCCAGGAGAAAACTGAGCTGGGCTCACTCCATTCCAGACCCCGGGGTTAAGCACAGTTCTCAGTGGCCGGCACCTGCAAAGTCGCAGGAGAGCAGGTGCTAAACAAGACCACCTGGGGGAGACTGGGTGGTGGAATAGGTGTCAGAGAAGATACCCAAGCTGGTCGGACAAGGAAGCCCTTGGAAGAAGCAGAAGCAGCTGCAACAAGGTTCACGGCACCGCTGAGTTTCTGCAGAGCAGAGTCGGGCAACTCAGCGCCGTCAGACGCGAACGCAGCCTTTTCTGCCAGGAGACGACCAAGAATTCAAAAGGACGCCCTGGGAGAATCCTGAGCCCTGTCCGTGAGGGAGAACGCGGCTGCCAAGCTGCCACATATGGCGGACAGATCCATGTCTCTCGCAAAAGAGCCTTCTCCAGATCGAGGAACAGATTCCATGCCACGAGGAGGAAAGGTTGCACGCTGCTGCCGCCAGGGCCTGTGGACCCCAAAATAAGCCAGGGACTTGCTGAGAATCAGACAGTTTCCAACACCGTGGGCCAGAAACAGAAACCAGAAAAGCCACCTTAAAAACAGGATGTTTGGGAGGAAGGAAGGGCATTCAGGCTGGAATCAATGTCTTACCAATAGTCCTCACAGCTTGAACGGCTAGTGAGACCCATTTCTCTTGTTACCGATCTCTGCAAAGGAAGGAGAGAATTACCCACCCTCACACCACAACACGTCCCGGGGCCCTTGCTCACTTGCTTGTTATTGCTAAGAATACGCATTTCCAGATCTGTTTATAATACAGATATTATTTACAGATATTTCTAAATATAACTGAAAGCAACATGATAGAATGTGGTTAAAAACAGGGAAACGTCAGCCGTGAAATTTAATGGCTGGGTCGGACATCAGTATGGGGGTGACAGCAAACCAGTGGTGCTTCTGCACCATGCTGAAAATCTGGGGGCCTCTGGCTGTTTTGGGCTGCAGCTCCCATGAGCTCTCACAGTGGTGGCTAGGGCTGATGGGAGTTGTAAGCCGAAGCAGCTGGAGCACCATGAATGGCTCACCCCCACTATATATTAATGGTCCTTCCTTCTTCTGCACACCTGCTGGCAAAGGTTAAATCTTGCGAAGGAGACCCCAGTCCAAGACTGCTTCACTCCCCTGCCACATGGGCCCTCTTGGCTGGGGTGTTGCCACGGTGGTATTGCACAAACCCAGTATTATTTCAAGGCAAGGAATATTAAAATCTACGTTTGGAACCGGGGGCACAGTGCAACTCTGCCAAGGAGCCGTGGGGTGTCTCTGATTCTTGGGGACCCGTAACATGGCTGCAATTTCTTGGGCAGCTTTTACTGTTTTCTGCCTGTATCAGACGCCTCCCACAAAACCTTTGTCTGAATGGACAGCAGATTTGTAAATTGCCCCAGCTTAGAGAGTCCATTGTACTGCTGGGTGGGCCTTTCCAGGTTGAGGTGGGGGCAGCAGGAGGGTTGCTCCCAGTCAGGACTAGCAGGAAAAAGGTGTATTGGCATCAAGTGATGGTGCAGGGATAAAAAGCTGCAGTACACCCTCCAGCCACTGGCAGTGGTGGCGCTATAGAGCAGCAAAAACTGGGCCCCCAGTTCCCTGCCTTCAAGGCGTCAAGTAGGAGACCAAGGTCCCAGGACGCTCTTGCCAAGCCCAAGTTCAAGATTTCCCAGTCTTACAATCAGAAACAGGTGGAGCTGCTTGGGGAGCCAGAAATGGATGTGCAATGCTAGAAAATAAGTGACCAAGAACACCAAGGCATTTTAGACCCTTTAGATAAGCTGGGGGAAGATGCTGAAGGGGAGACACAACAGAATTTATATGATTTTTTATTTTTAAGAATTCTGGGCCCTGCTAAGGCACAGGCCTATCCGAGGCAGCTGACAAAAATTAAATAGCCTGATGGAAGAATAAAACACCCCAAAACCATAAAAATAACCAGAACAGCTGGGCTAGATTGTGCTAAAAGCAGGCAAAACCATTTGAGCTACAAACCAGACCAGTTTAGTAAAACATCAGGGGAAAAGGAAGGGTCCGCGGCCCTCCTGTATGTGCTACCCACCCAGTGGCCCTCAAAGCTTGGAAAGTGAGAAAGGTGGGTGGTCTTAAAGTGTGGACAGGCTGGCGTGAAACAGAAGAAGAGCCCGGATGGATCCGGCCAGAACTCTGTTAATGCACTCACCAACCAGTTGCCCAGACAATGGGACCAAATTGGCTTTAAAGTCAAAACCAGTCTTTTAAATTGGGCTCAGAATTATGGAGTGGAGAAACTGGATAGAGGAATTCCCTAGCGGACAGGGCAGGGAGCACGGATGTGTGCTTCGAGGGACAAATTTATGGAATGGAAGAGGGTTGGTCGCGGCAGGAGCCCTGAAGGATAAATGCGCACTCATGTGCAGAAGTGTTCGGGCTTGGATGTCACGCTGAGCGAACCCGTAGCCTCCCCTCATGCACCACCCAGAAGCCTCTAGCTGACCACTGTCAGAAGCAAGACACTGGGCTGTGAAGAGCCAGCAGGACTCCCCTGGTGGCTTCCCAAGGGCATTAGTGCTCTCACCACCTCCATGCACAGCACCAGCTCATTTAAGTGCGCTGCAGTTAAACAGAAACTGCTGAAGCACAATCCTGTGCACATTTAGACGGAAATAAGTTGAGGACTTCTGCCCCGGGAACGCTCCAAACACTCAAAGCGGGAGTGTTCAACGGGGGCCCTCGGCCTAATTTTATGCAGCCCTCTGTGGACAAGAGAGGCAGCTCAGTGGGAACATGCGGTGGGGGGGGGGGCAGAAAGAGGGAGAAGGGGCCGCTAGCCCAATTCTGGCCCAGGTATCACCTGCCACCAGCTGCAGCCTGCAGCTCAGGTGGATGATCTTCCTCCAGGAACGCGCCCAGAAGAAAAGCTTTCCCATCCGCAATCTGGAAGGTCGCCTTACGTTGAATCAGGCCGACCATCTCTTTGGCGCAGCGCTGGGAGCCACACAGGGTCTTCGTCCAGCTTGGATCGAAGATCTCCGGGACACGCGCGGGAAATTTCCCGGGACGGGCTCTCCATCCACCTGGGCCACACGCTCCTCTAGCTGAGTACTTTCCACCCCGGGGCTGGGGAACATTTGGCCCCTCGGATGATTCTGGTCCACCGGCCCCATCCGGCCGGATCAGGAGCAGGTTCTGCCGTGCAGGTTCTCCATGTTGACTCAGGAGCAGGTTCTGCCGTGACCGGAAGGGCATTTATGAAGGCGCATGTGCATAGGTCGTCTGTTCAAATTTTGTTACGTGATCTCACTTTCACAAAGCCGAAGCGCCTAACGCTCGTCAGCCAGCCGCCTGCCTCGGGTTTCCTCAGCAGACCGGGAGGAACAGAGAGGAAGCTGGCGCAGGTAACTCAGCCATTGCAGCGGGGCAGGCACCTTCCGACCATCCGGGACTCGTTGTACTGCAAACTCCATCAGCGGCCCAAGAATATTGAGGGCCCAAGCGCATCCTCTCCGCTGGCTCTGCCTGAGCAGCCATCCTTCCCCAAGGCATCCGCCAGAGACCTTTCCCAGCCGCTCTGCCAAGATCTAGTTAACCTGAAGACACCAGGTCGAACTTAAAGGCGCCTCCACGCCACAGCGCAGCAGAAAGGGGTGCCGTACATCCCATTTCCGGGGGAATGAGCGCATGTCTGACCGCTTCTTCCAGTCCACAGAGGTGATCTTGCAGAAAGAGCTTTTGCCTGGCCGCTCTTGGCTTCGCCACCACCAAATCCTTGGGAGTGGGGGGCGGTTTGGGAGTGGGGGGGCTGGAGGAGCGCTCTTTGATTCGGAGCACAGTCGGAATGGCAGCTGCATGAAGACGCCCGTTGCACCCACCCCACCTGCAGGAGGAAAATGTGGAGACGCAGACGCTTTCTTCCAATGTGGGCTTCGCCGCAGAGGGAAGCCAGCCATCCTACACCGCAGGGAGCTCGCTTTCTTGTCCATCTGGGACGTAACTTTTGTTCTCCACACCTACAAGTGTGAGGCCACAAATTAGGCAAAAATGCTAACTTTTAGAAAGGAGAGGAAGGAGAAAGGGAGAAAGGGATGTCAAGCACATATTTCTTAGAGCAGAGGTGTAGAACTTACAGCCCAGGGGCCGAAATGGCTCTCCCGTGGTCCCAATCCGGCCCTCGGGAGCTGCCCAGAAGGCCACGCCCCCTTCTCCTGGCCCATCCCCCTTGCCCCCAGACATTGCCTCCCGCACATCCCTGGGCTGCAGTCCTCGGGCACTTCTCCGCCACAGACGGTGGGTGGGCACGTTTTAAGAAATGCTGCCTAGGAACAGCCTGATCTGAAATAATAGAATTCGCAAAGCAACAGCAACGGTCCATGAACAGAGAGGGACCTGCTGAAAACCCGCCATGCTGATTTCAAGGTCGTGTTCTGAGCCGTTTCCTTCCCCCTGCAGTATGGCAGGTGCAGCGAGTCCCCTCCTGCATGTTTTTTCGGTAACACAGCCAGGACAGCCAAGCCCCTCCCAGGCCCAAGGTGCCCAGATCACCTCAGCGG